AGATGAGAGAGGACACCCTCAAGTGAACTGAGCAGAAACTAATGTCTCAGTTTCTCAGTGGTTTTATGGAAGTGTCACCTACCGCTCGGTGCTACAGCAGTAACACTAAGAGAGCTACAGTTAAAACCGCTGTCAGGGTCTGTGCCATTGGAGCTGAAGGTCACAAAACCTGGAGTGGCCGACGCAACCTGAGTGTTAATCCAGTCCTTGTACTGGGACACTCTGGTGTACACATCCGGGAGACTGGAACGAGCACAACCCTGCCTAGAGCTCACAACACCTGCCTGAACCCAGGAGGAGTCCTGCTGACAGATCAGGGGTCCTCCTGTGTCTCCCTGGACACAAGAGAGAGATGGACAGACATGGGGGTTAATAAAGACAGTTGACTGAACACTCCAGTACATTAACACTGCACTGAGAGAGAGGGGTTAATACAGACACACTGACTGGACACTACAGTACATTAACACTGCACCGAGAGAGAGGGGGGTTAATACAGGAAAAGGTTAATCGTACACATTAAGTTTTTTTTCTGAAAAAAAGAAAAGACAGAGAAAGTATACAATTGAAAAGTATTTGTGATGTGGTGTCTGTACCCAGCAGGTATCCTTGCCCCCATCCAGCTCTCCAGCACAGATCATGTTTTCAGTGATGGTGATGGGGTTATTGGCATCTTCATTAGTCAGACACCCACACTGCCTGTTCCCAATGATGGGCACCTGGACCTCCTGTAGCGTCTGGTTCCCCGACAGAGACACTGAGGGACGAGAAATTGAATCTGTGTTCAATTGATGGCTGAAATCCGTTATTGAGATGTTCTACCAAGGCAACCTTTTTGTTCTTAGTGCCTCTCAGAGAACAGCTGCCCAACAAAGATCCAAACATTCATTTTAGGAACTCATTTGGCTGAGTTACTAAAGAGTAACTAAATTATTAAAGCATGTTACTATGGGTCCCAAGTATGCAGTTGGGCCTCTGACCGAAGCAGGCTGAGTATGATTCTCACTCTAGGGTACAACTGCACTGTTTCACCTGGGACCTGAACCCATAGCCCACCAGGTGAGAGCAGATACCTGACCACCAGCCCGGACCTGACAGTCCAGTCCAGCCAATCATGTCTGATCTGCATGAGACGGTCACAGGGAGGACACGCAGACTACACCCTGAAGGCAACCCAGCCTGGAATCGAACCCAGAGCTGTACTACGCCACTTCAAAATGACTTGATGTATAATTGAAAAAAATTAAGAAGTAAAGAAAGTGTGGTGCTCGTGTTGTAGTAATCCACAGAGAAGATGTGTTGTATCTATAGAAAACACAGCAAATGGCCCACATTGCTTTTAAAAACTAAGGCTCTTCTGCCTTAGCAAAGGGATGCCGTATGTATAAGAAATGAGCTCACCACCATTAGCTGTGTATCCCCAGCCTGCGACCCAGCAGCTGGTCCCAGTGTGGAAGGAGCTGTTGCTGTCGGCCAGACAGATGGGCTGGATGTGGCTGGTGAAGGACACAGGGCTGACCAGCCTCACCAGGGTGATGTCATTGTTAACTGCATAATAGTAGTAATTAAATCCAGGGTGCATAATGATACTTTTGACCCTCCTTGATACTTTGTAGGGGTTAGGGCCCACTTGTTGCTGACTGCCCAGATATACCTTCCAGTAACTGAGATCTGAGTACCTGCAGAAAGACAGAGGTCATTGCTAAAATTGTGCATAATGTCACCTATGCTCATCTAGCATCTTTCTCGTCAAATACTGTTCTGGGCAACACTGATCCAGAATGACTAGCCTGTCCCACAGGAAACTAACCAGTAATTGTAGATACAGCTTGCAGCAGTCAGGACCCACTGGTGGTTGATCAGAGATCCTCCACACCTGTGTTGCCCATAGTAATGTATGCTGACCTGCCAGGGCCAGTACCCCTCTGGGGCAGAGTCACCCCCCACAATCCTGGTACTGAGTGGTGCCTTTCCACACTCTGGGGAAACACAAGAGACAGATGGGAAGAATTGTCTGATGTGCGTCTGAATTTTAGCAAGTATCTGCAATTTACTGATGATTTCAGCTGTAACCTACCACTGGGAGCTACTGGAGTCACATTGAATGGAGAACAGGTGAAGTTGCTGTCCAGGTCCGGGCCAGTGGGAGTGAAGGTCACAAAACCTGGAGCTGCCAACCCAACCTGCTCATTAATCCAGTCCTGGTACTGGGACACCCTGGTGTACACCCCTGGGAGACTGGGCTGGGCACAACCCTCTCCGAAACTTACAATACCAGCCTGAACCCAGGCAGAGCCCTGCTTACACACCAGGGGTCCCCCTGTATCGCCCTGGAGACAGAAAGAGGAGTTAAAAAGACGCTGCCTGTATTTAAATGACTGGCAGCACTTTTCAAACTGGGGCGACTCACATATAACAGGAAATAATGAGAGAATGGTAAGTGTGTCATAAAAACACAGGAAGAGGTACAGTACACTATGTAGCTTTCTTCAGGTGTTTATTTTCTTTACTTTTCAGTGTGGAAAGAACCTTTACCTGTTCCTTTGGAGCCTACGCATGCTGACACGGCTCCATAATCAAGCATATACAGTATGGCTATATAGTGTCTAGGGTGTCGGAAGGGATGAACTGTGGAATGGCAGGAGAGCGGAGAAAGACCCTATGCGTAGTGCCGGGACGGGAGGTTAGCCCGGGCTCAGCAGTGCAAGAGTTCAGGAAATGCCGTATAGAAACCAATGCCCTCAGGTCGCAGATGGAGCAGCGACCTGGTGCTAGGCGGGTCTCAGGACATCTTAACGTCAATGCTGAGCAAAGGGAAATGAGTGACCTGGAAATATATAACCCCAGAGAGAGACACACCGGAAGGACAGAGCAAAGCACAGGAAACTAGGGACAGGACAGAGTGGGAGCGCCCTCTGGCTGCAGAGGGCGTGACTTATAGTAGATTTATAGAGGGTATATAGCAAAGGTTTCTTGATATTTTGATAGTCCAGCAGAGTGAGGGACACAGAACAGAAGCAGAAAAACAAAAAGATGATGGGGTGGCTGTACCTGGCAGAAGCCTTTGCCCCCTTCCAGCACTCCAGTACAGATCATGTTGGCTGTGATGCCGCCTGAGCCAAAGGCCACGTCGTTCAGACACCCACACTGCCTGTTCCCCATGATGGGCACCTGCACCTCCTGTAGGATCTGGTTCCCTGACAGAGACACTGACAGACAAGGCAGATTGTCATTACCCTGTCCTTGGCTGGAGACCACTCTTGGGAAACCTGAAGAAGCAATCACTCTTCTTGCATGTTTGAGTTCTTTGCTAAAGTTTTGCCCAAAACAGACCCTGGTTCTGCTCTGTCTGAGGAACTGTCAGGTGAGCAACGATGTTCCTTAGCCATCTTCACCTGTGGCAACACCACAGGTCCCAGGTGTTTCTCATGAGCTTTATTCCCTAGCCATTGTTGGTTCTTCTTTCATTGAGGAGAAGAATTCAAGGAGACTGCCACATTTGGGGTAAAACTTCACCTGACATCATAATATCTCAGATGAGCTCTTACTACTGGTTTGTATGAACATGTGTTTTACCTATTGCTGGTGATCAAGTTAGTTCTGATTGACGTCAGCAGTTAATCCATTTAATTGTCTCTCACACATTCACAATCGCATTTCTCCATTTGTTGGACTAGAAAATCTAATTCCAACCCTCAAAGAAGTGGCAACAACACACAAATATCAACTACGCCAACAGTGTCTTCCCATAGCTGATTTCCAGCAAGCTTCAAACTCTGGTCTAGGATCGAACACAAGGGGCTGTAGGGCACAATAAAACACTTTGCAACCTCATGAGCCAGATAAATAGAACTGGTCTTGCACTTTTCAGGATAGGGGCAGTTTGGTTAGAAACACTTGTTTTTCAAAAATGTTGAAGGTTTCAATACCCTGTTTGTTTATGGAGACACCTTCAGTCTTGCATGTGCATGTCTGTACCTGTATGTTAATTCTGCTGTTTCACTACAGGCCAGATGGTTGCTCCTGGGCCAGTTTAAGGACTGTGATAAAAGCCACTTCACCCCCGATTGTCATTTAAATCTAGAGCCTGAGAGTATGAGTTACAAGGAACAGACAGGAGCATCCTTTCATTAGGATGTGCCATGCCAAATGTGTGGTTCTTAGTAGGATCCACAATAAAGAGCAGGAATAGATCATCCTAAAGTTGCAAACATTGCGTAACATAGCTGGAAAAGAACTGATCGTACTGAGCTATAAAAACACCTTGCAAAATGTTCTTTAATAAACCTGCTGGGAAATGGTGATTTTAAAATACTGCACACAGGAAAACTGCACAAATTAGCCGATTACTGGAAACTCAGTGCCTATACTTAATATTGTAAAGCAATAACCTAACACACCTTGCACTATACAGTATACAGTAGCTTTCCTATTATTATACTTTAGTTTCTCTGTTGATGTGAGAGATTTCATCTTCCAGTGTTTTTTACAGGAAAGGGTGATGTGCCAACTTACCATCCTCAGCCGTGTCTCCCCAGCCAGTTACCCAGCAGCGGGTGCCATCGAGGAAGGAGCTGTTGTTGTCGGCCAGACAGATGGGCTGGATGTAGTTGGTGAAGCTGACAGGATTGTCCAACCTTATCAGAGCGATGTCATTATTTTTTATTCTAGAGTCGTAGTTTGGGTACCACACGATCTGCTGAATCGTCCTGGACACTTCATTGAGGTTTGAGCCCACCTGTGTCTGCCTGCCCAGATACACTGTCCATGGGACACTATAAGTAGTGCTGGAAAGAAAGAGAAAGATCACTTAGCTCTTTACACTGCCTAAGTGTCTAAAACCTTAAATATTACACCGTCTGTTCTCATCAGAGTTAATCTCAATGCCGTTATGCTCATGAGTGTCAATCAGAATAGAGTTATCAGTTTCTCTCTCAATCCTTCAATAGTTCAATACCTCTTTTTACTTCTTTTCTAAACATTCCCTCAATCAAGCTCCAAGCTCAATCAAGGCTGTACTGACATCATCACACATAGACAAGAGCACTGTGGTCATTCTCCCCTCAGTTCCGTTGGTAAACTATAGAAAAATTCCTTCTGAATCTGTAAAACCATTGCGCAAAACCTCTGCCACAATAAGCACCGCAGATTCTTGTTGGAGTTTATTTAAACACCTTGTTGCTTACAGCAGTCCACACAAATTAATTTTGTTTTCAAACTCTGCCATTTGCAAGGGGTAACATTTATTTCTGACTCCAAGCTCACAGGCCACAGAAGGACAAGAAGGTTGGAAAGAGTTGGAAAGAGGTCAAAATCATCAGTACTACCAAAATGTAAAGCCCTGGCTCAGCACTCATAACCAGTGTTCCTGTTTCTCCTTACCCTGAAAAGCACTGTGCTGCCGTCAGCACCCACTGCTGGTTGATCAGGGATCCTCCACACCTGTGACGCCCATAGTAATGTAGGCTGACCTGCCAGGGCCAGTACCCCTTTGGGGCAGAGTCACCCCCCACAATCCTGGTACTCAGGGGTGCTCTCCCACACTCTGGAGGAGACGGTGGAAAAGATTCAGTTGGTTCTGGGGTAGTAATAGGGAGAGCAGTCATAATGGGTCCTGTAGCAGCAGTGGAGGGAGTGGTTGTAAGTGGTGCTGTAGTAGTAGAGGAGGCAGTGGTCACTGGTGCTGTAGTAGTAGAGGAGGCAGTGGAGGGAGTGGTTGTAAGTGGTGCTGTCGTAGTAGAGGGAGCAGTGGTCACCTGGGCCCTGACAGCATTAGAGGAACCACAAGTAAAGCTGCTGTCAGCGTCTGTGCCACTGGAGGTGAAGGTCACAAAGCCTGTGGCTCCCGACCCCACTTGTCCGTTAATCCAGCCCTGGTACTGGGACACCCTGGTGTACACCCCTGGGAGACTGGGCCGGGCACAGCCATAACCGAAACTCACAATACCAGCCTGAACCCAGGCAGAGCCCTGCTTGCAGACAACAGGACCTCCTGAGTCCCCCTGGAGACAGAGAGAGATCACTGTGAGAATAAGAACAGACCGACTAACTGTAGATCATCGTCTACTTACACAGCCTGACTAAAAAACAGAAACAGTGACCCAACAAGATCATAAAAGCGCAGGGCAGCTCAGGAATGCACTGGAGCAAGAAAAAAGGCACACAGGGAAAAGGCTTTTCCAGCTACCTGGCAGGAGTCCTTGCCCCCCTGCAGCACTCCCGCACAGATCATGTTGGCTGTGATGCTGTTCGCTCCAAAGACCACATCACTCAGACACCCACACTGCCTGTTCCCAATGATGGGCAGCTGGACCTCCTGCAAGGTCTGGTTCCCTGACAGAGACACTGGGAGACAAGACAGTTTGTTACTACCTAATTCACATGCCCATACTTTGGAACACACATGTCAGAGTGGGGAAAGGAGCAGGATCTGCTGAAACCTTGATTTCAAACCTAGCAGTGCCCTCTCGCTATCCATTGACCAATACAGTATCCATGTTTATACTCACCAGTGTCATATCACTGCTCTATCACCACCACAGTATCATCATTCTGACCTACCAGTGTCCCATCACTGCTCTATCACCACCACAGCATTATCATTCGGACCCACCAGTGTCCTATCACCGCCCTGTCACTAGGGAAGTATTCTTGTTCTAATTGATGCACTTCCACAGACAGCAAAATAGGGATTAATGAATATTAACTGCTACCCGATGCCCTGACTAACATGGAGATACACAAATGCTTGCCTCTGGAATGAGTGCGTATTTGACCATCTGCCCCTTTTCTTCAAACTTCAAACAGCTGAGTGGGCACAGACTGGAGTAACAATGCAGCTCTAACACTGACAAAGCATGGTGTGTTCATGGGAAAAAAGTGACAGGGAAACACTGGACTGGAGGTTGAAGATGTCGAGGTCAGGTCAGATCCTTCTCTCCTTTTGGGGGGCTAGTGATAGACCAGCCCTGGAAACTCAGGGGACCCACATATCTGCTGCTACATCTTTACTTCATTGAATCCTTAATTGAACTATCAGTTTAATCCATGAGAACCCTTGCCAGCTTTTCTGCTATCTAAAACCTGTCGATCACAAGTTACTTTTGAGATGCAACAGTAACCGTGTTTTTGCGAACTGAAAACAGTTGAAGTGTCCTAACTGATTGCAGTATTATGGTAGGTCAAAGAGGTTGAGGTTGAGGGTTCTATTACTTCAATGAGGTTCAGCTGAGTGCTCGGCTGGAATTAAAACCAGCAGATGTGGTGATCTCCAGGAATAGGGCTGGGATCACCTGGATTAGCACATCAGTACGTTCTCAATTTAACCTTCTGTAGATTATACAATAGATCAACACCGATCCTTCAAAACACATGTGGATTGAGCCACTTATAGAGCACCAGCTCTTTGTACCATAACATGCCATAGACTGGTTCACTTCACCAAAGGGATACACTCACCCCCCTCAGCTGTGTAGCCCCAGCCAGTGACCCAGCAGCTGGTCCCAGTGTAGAAGGAGCTGCTGCTGTCGGCCAGACAGACGGGCTGGATGTAGTTGTTGAAGGAGACAGAACTGCTCAGCCTCAGCAGGGTGATGTCGTTGTTTTGGGTGATGGAGTCATAGCCTGGATGCACGAAGATCTGTTGGACCGACCTGGACACTTCGTTGGGGTTGGAGCCCACCTGTGTCAGACGGCCCAGGTACACTGTCCACTGACTCGCTATCGGGTAGCTGGGAGAGCAATGGAGGAGGAAGGGAAGAAATTGACAATGGGCTGGATCACATTACCAATGCACTGAAGCTTTAGCCTGGCTGCCTCGCAGCACTTGGGCTCAAGGCACAATCCCTGAGGTGTTATCTGAGTGGAATTTCTATGTTCTCCCTGTGATTGTGTGATTTTCCTCTGATAGTTCAAGTTTAAATTCAAGCTTATTTGTCAATCCAGCCATATATAAGTATAATACAGAGGAGCGAGATATCGTTCTCCAGGTCTACGGTGCGAATACAGACAAGACACTGACAACACAATGCTATAGACAATGTAGACACAGACTGGCAGGGTACAGGGTACATACAGTGCAAGGTGAATAGTGCAAATTGTGAAAAGAATACATCAGACAGTATGCCTGATATTAGGCAAAAAAGAACTAAGTTTCCAGATTTGGAGTAGGTGCAGTAGGTACCAGGGTGTTGAGGAGCCTGACAGCCTGTGGAAAAAAGCTGTTATGGAGTCTGGTGGAGCTGGCCCATATACTGCGATACCTTTTACCAGATGGTAGGAGGGCAAAGAGGATGCAGGAGGGGTGGGAGGGATCGTTCACAATACTGGAGGCTTTGTGTGTACAGCTTTTGTGATATATGTCCTGAATGGATGGTAGAGAAGCTCCAATGATGTTTCCTGGTGTATTGACAATTCCTTGCAGGGACTTGTAGTCTGAGACCTTACAATCCCCAAACCAAACAATGATGCAGTTTGTCAAGATGCTCTCGATGGTACCTCTATAGAATGTGGATAGTTTGGGGCAGGTGGAGGTTTGCTCTGTGGAAGTGGAGACGTTGTTGTGCTTTTTTATCTAGGGAGGTGGTGTTGATGGTCCAAGTGAGGTCATCTGTGATATGCACACCAAGAAACGTAGTACCTTCTAGCTGTCTCCACGGGGGAGCAGTTGATGTGCAGTGGGGAGTGATCAGCGTGGGCCCTCCTGAAGTCAATTATCTCTTTTGTCTTTTCGACATTCAGAGACAGATTGTTGTTTCAGCACCAGTCTGCTAGTTGCTCCACCTCCTCTCTGTATGGTGCCTCATAGTTGTTACTAATGAGGCCCACCACAGTCATCAGCAAACCTGATGATGTAATTTGCACTGTCCTTAGCAGTGCAGTCATGAGTCAGCAGCGTGAACAGGAGTGGGCTGAGTACATAGCCCTGTGGGGATCCGGTGTTCATTATCATGGTACTAGAGACGTTGTTTCCAATCCGGACTGTCTGAGGTCTCTCGGTCAGATAGTCCAGAATCCAGTTATAGAGGGAGGTGTTAAGTTTCAGCAAGCTCAGTTTTTCTATCAGTTTCTGGGGGATGATTGTGTTTAATGCTGAACTGAAGTCAATGAACAGCATTCTTACATACCTGTAAGTATCCCTCTGATCCAGATGGGACAGGGCAAGGTGAAGGGCGGGGGATACAGCATCATCGTTAGACTGGTTGAGACGATACACAAACTGGAGGGGGTCCAGAGAGTTGGGAAGTCTGGACTTAATGTGGCCCATGAGTAGGCTTTCCAAGCACTTCATGACAACTGGTGTGAGTGCCACGGGGCGATAGTCATTGAGACAGGACACAGTAGAGTTCTTCGGCACTGGTATAATCATGGTGGTCTTGAAACAGGTAGGTTAATTGGCTTCTGGGAAAATTGGCCCTGGTGTGAGCACAAGCATGTTTGTGTCTGTGTGTGTGCATTGCACTGGACTGGCATCCAGTTTAGGGTGTATCCTGCCCTGCACCTATTGGTTGCTGGGATAGGCTCAAGTTTCCTTACGAACCTGTACTGTTAGAAATTGTTAGAAATTAAACAGTTAAAAATGAGATGGATGGATGGAAGTTTGTCATGTTTTATTTTTAGTTCAGTTTTTATTTCTTTGTCATTAATGAAAATCTTGAGACACCTACTGTGTCTTAGGTTTTCAGTAAACAGTCTCTATTGCTACAGTGAATAATTTAAAAATCCTTCAGTGTACAGATGCAGCCACTCAGAACGCACATCATTTCTTAGAAATGCCTGTAACGCAGGGTGGTATGTTATTTGATTCACTGACTAAAGACAGGGGGCACTTGTGGTGCATTAGATAATAATAATAATAATAATAATAATAATAATAATAATAATAATAATAATAATAATTGCTTACACTTATATAGCGCTTTTCTGGACACTCCACTCAAAGCGCTTTACAGGTAATGGGGACTCCCCTCCACCACCACCACCAATGTCCAGCATCCACCTGGATGATGCGACGGCAGCCATAGTGCGCCAGAACGCTCCCCACACATCAGCTATCAGTGGGAAGGAGAGCAGATCAATGTAGCCAATTCATAGAGGGGGATTATTAGGAGGCCATGATTGGTAGGGGCCAATTGGAATTTGGCCAGGACACCGGGGTTACACCCCTACTCTTTTCGAGAAGAAAAGAGTTAGTGAAACAGTTGCTACTGTTTCTGTTTCCCTACTGTTCATCATCTTTAAATCCACTTAACATGGGATATTAACATGGAATGCTGTAACTAAAGGGAAAATGATTGATAGATGACAATAAAAATAAAAGAAGCATAACATCTCTGAACGTCATAAGCTTGTAGCTAAAAATAAAAAAAAAGGTTTTCCAATTTCACCATAAAGATTTTCTGCATCAAAGTCCATCTTTAACTTGGTCTCTTACTGTGGTTATATACTCAAAAAGAAGGTTTTGAATATAGATTTAGAAAAGTTTTGACGAGCTCATCATAAATATATTAAGTTTATATACTTTATAAAAAAGCTATAACCTTTTTTCTATGCATACTTGTCATTATTGTAAAAAAAGCTGTTCCACTTTTAAAAAAACACTTAATAGGGAATATTAACATGGAATCATGTAACTAAAGAAATTTTGGTAGCTGAAAATAAAAATTGTTTCTGAACGTCATTAAGAATATTAATTTCTGGATCTAAATGTAACATATTTCCATAGCTGGTAGTAGTTTCTTCGTAAACATCTGCATTCTTTTCTTTGACTTGTTCTCTTGAGGTTATTTGGGATTATTCTGGAAACATTTTGATATCTGTTTTAACTATATTACTGAGTGATGCTTTGGTACAGTAGAGTAAGTGTGTGCCTATTACCAAGAATGTCGGGGGTTCGATTCCTGGTCAGGACACAAATTTTATTCTTAACAAATGAAGACCCTTTTTTTAAAAAATAAAATAGTAAATAATATGTACATTATATTGACATTTTTATTATTTTTATATATAGAATCTTGTTAGAAGTAATATTAATAAATTAATAACATGAATAAACATGAATGAGTCAGCGAACATGAAAACTGTCTATGGTGGGAGTAAAAGCCTGTTCTACCTGTTCTACAGCCGTAAAACAAAATCGTATACAAATAATTATATAACTATAATCTAGAATGACAAAGTGCTATTAAAAAAGTCTGGAACCAAAGTATAATATATCTGAATATTATTGACAATATTAATTTTTCCAGAATAAATACTCATTTCAAACTGCTTATATTTTATTCAGGGTGATTTGTCATTGTTGTTTTCACAAAACAACTATTTCTGAGACACAGTGTTTCAGATGTCAATAACTTTGCGAGCACAGTGCATATGGTGTTCATAGTGCCATCAAACCACAGGCATTTTGAAGAATGTGATTTGAGGAGATTGTCACAATATTTATTCAAACAACATTTAGTACCTGGTTGCATGTTTAGAAACCTTAGTTTCTGTGTTTACGCGCAGCTATGCGCGGCCTTGCCTAAAGAGGATCCATCGTGTAAACGAGTTCATAAGGTGAAAGTTACTATTCAGATCTATTGAGGCGAAGCGCCTGACCATATGAAGAAGAATAGCACAACCTCAGAATCCTTGAGTGAGTAATGGTTTCAACCGCTCTTTAACTTGTGAAACTCTTTCTGTATGTTTCGTTCTCACTCAGATAAAAACATATGTAACTCTTTTGACAGGAGCTCTTTTTAAATATAAGCCCTTCTATGAAAAGAAGGTTTTGAGTCTAGGAAAGAGCTCAGGTAAACCGGACTCCCTGATTTCCTCAGGTGAAAAGAGAGACTAAAGAAACCCGCCTTTCTGCCTTGCAACAATTCTCAAACTGCTCCGAAGCCAGACGCAGAGTAAAAGCCCCTAACCTGAATGATCATGATGGACAAACCATCAATTGTCCCTACACAGCACCTGTAATACAAAGGAAAAACTAAAGCAAGCCCAAGTGCATGCGCACACCGAGGAAAGAAATACTGGCTCCACAAAATGGATCAAAGATCCATTTCAAATGCCCTCAAATACGCTCCATCCCCACTATATTTTATGACAAGGTAAAAGTGAGGAGCAACATAAAAGCAGGATATGACTAACATGCAGACACAAACTGAATAACAGTACAAAGTGTTTTTGCAATCGGCAGGGTCCGCTTGTCGGCACGCCCCGTCTCCATTTGGCGTGGTCATAGGTGTCTTCCGGGGTGACGTTCACTTTCCGCATCTCTTCACTGATCCGATCCATCCGAGCCATAGACCCTGCGGGCTCAGTCGCATCGCTGTCCATGCCACCGTGCGCTCACCACTTCTCATCACATGTCCATACTATCGCAGTCTTCCTTCTTGCATCTTCTCCGTTATTGGTGCCACTCCCATGCGTCGACGGACATTGTCATTGAGGACGTGGTCAAATCTTGTTAGGCCGAGACACCACCGGATCATCCTCATTTCCATGATATGGAGGGCCTGCTCCTGCCTGGAAGTTGCTGGCCAGCATTCCGATCCATACAGGGCGACAGGGTGGACAACGGTCTTGTAAACTTTGGCCTTGAGTCAAATTGGCATCCGGCGATCTCAGAAAAGCAGGCGACCTGGCGCCACTTCATCCATGCTGGTTTCACTCGGACCCTGGCAGCTGGGAGGGTGTCGCCGTCGCTGCTGCTGATGGAGCCGAGGTATTTTAACTGCGTCACTTTCTTGAGATCTTCACAACTAATGCTGATACTTCCATCCGTTTGAGGGACGCGCTCCACATACTCGGTCTTCTTGGTGTTCAACCACATTCCATGCTCGTCCAGTCGGATCTTCCATTTCTGCATTTGGTGTTATTATATTATAACTTACACTCTGTGGGCACTACACTGTGAGGGATGCTGCCCACTAACCCCATTTACCGAAAACTTCCCAGGACCAATTTCATGTTGCTGGATACAATTTTATCTTGCCTTCCAGAATCCAGAATTTTGTCAACATCTACTTAAGGTAGGCTGAGTAATCCCACCGTGTTAAATAGCGCCCGTTGCTTACTGAGTCTTCACACACTCAGTATAATCAGAAAAAACGTGATCTCGGCAGGCATGAAATACAGTAGGGTTAAAAACTTCTTTTCTAAAAGATCTCAGATTTGTTTTAAAATTTGCGTCTGTTGTAACTGTTACTGTGAACAAAATTGCAATTCTCTCACAATAAATTAATATGCACAGTAGATTCACATTTCTGATAATTGTACATACAGTATCGCAGTATGTCAAATATTAATAATAATAATAATAATAATAATAATAATGTAATAACACGAATAAACCACCAGACCAACAATCTCCAGGATGCTCGTAAAGAGCAAGGGAATTCAAAGATGCCTTAAACGGAAATCACAATTGAGGTTTGTTATGCGTATACAGCATTTAGAAAACAAAGTCGCACTTGTAGTGCATAGCACCAATTTCAGTTTTATTTTTCTGATGCAGCACTAGAGGGCATGTTGCATTCTGGCACATTATATCCCTGCAGCAGGGGGAAGGGAAACTGTTGTGGGCTTTTATTTTCACTCTCTGTCTTCAACACACATTCCCAATAGTCACTGATGCATCCTTAGCCTAGGAACTTCAATTCCCATGAACCCCACAGGAATACTTAGTGGTAGCGTCTACATTTCCTGGTTACTAAGTTATTCCTGGTTTTAATCTGGTCTTTTAAATACAAACATTTTAAGCAAGTAATATCTTTGTTAAGTAATATAATTGTTATCTTATAACTTAAAATGAGAATTACAGTATGAAATGAATATGTATACTATATTGACGGAACAAGTAATAGGTTTATTCCATGCTGAAAAAAGAAGAAAGAGAACACAACGTTTCGGCCGTGGAGCCTTCCCCGTGGAGCCACACACCTGAAGAAGGCTCCACGGTCGAAACGTTGTGTTCTCTTTCTTCTTTTTTTCAGCATGGAATAAACCTATTACTTGTTCATTTGCAGCCTACGCATGCTGACGCAGCTACCCACCTGAACTACTATATTGACGTTTTGATTGTATACATCACAGAATGTTAAATACGTATTTTACATTCACGATCTCTTAAGCCCATAACAGTGCTGGGGACGTATCTGATTTTAAATTGAGAGAGAAGACTTAGGTTTTAGGTTTCCTAAAACTGGTTTATCGTCTAACATTGCGATTGTTAGACATGTGTGATGTGGCTGTTGGGGCTATTCACAGGTTCAGTTTTGGCATTTTCACATTGAAAGAAATAAGCATGTGCCGTGTTAATGTCAGTAGTTTTACAATGAATCAAATATGCATTTTTATTTATCCGTGGAATAGTTTGTCTTACATATCGTTAAGTCACACTGTTAGACTATATACTGCAATGAGGAAGAAAAATCACACACAGGACTTTTTTCTTTTTTTTAAGTTGTTAAACCACTTTCTCACAACTTGTATTGGGGGTGTAAATGTAACAGTGTGCGATGTCATTTTAAACCATCGGCCACGTAAATCAAATACGAGAACAAAGACTATGATTCACAACATGTCACACACACACACGCGAATCCCATGAAGTCGGATTCACAGGTACACTGAAATAGTAGAGCACACGGCAATGAACAGCAGTGTGATAGTATACTGTATAAATATACTGTATATACAGTATGATACCATGGTGGTTTTAAAGCCACTACAGTACAGTATGTGTGAAAAATCCAAATTTAAAGTAAAATTGGTTTCTGATTACTTGTGTATGTCAGACAACATATAGATTATGTTATTGAGGATGTAGACCTCAAAGAAGCACATTGCGTTTACAACAAGCACAATAATAAATATCCAACTAATCAATTTTGTTTTTTGTAAAATAGCCCTTCTTTTTTAAATTTAATTTAATATTCAAGATACTCCCAAGATATACCATCAAACTGCTATACCACCAGTGGATAAAGGAGCAAGCCAGATCCTCACTGTGCAAGTGAAAGTAAAACAGAAATGTTTAGTCTCTTGACAAATGGCGAGCTGGGGTGTTTTGTAAACTGGGAGCTACCATTAACAACACGGCCAGAGCAGTATTTCTTCAGAAAAGCACGAATGTTACGGTGATCACACTTAACAAGAGCATCTAAACCTCTCTACTAGACAACGTCCTGGTTCTTCCACTCTATACTTTTATTGCAGCTGACTAAACTCTGCATGGGTAAAAAAGAACAATACTTGCAGGTCCCATTCTCTGTCCTTTACCATATACAGTATAAGCACATCAGGGCAGACAGACCAGATGAAGCAGATTCCTGCGGGACAGGATCTGCAGGTGCTGTAGGAAGACAGACTGTGAAGGTGTCGGTTACAGCTCCCTGTGAGGTACACTCGCTAGCAGCACAGCCATTTCCTCCAGGAGCCTTTGCACCAGAGTCAGGGGGAGATGGGATCTGAAACGTACATTCTGGAGGGCTCCCATAGGGGCATAAAGATCCCGCCAAACACACGGAGAACGAATCAAAGACTATGATTCACAACATGTCACACACATGCGAATCCCATGAAGTTGGATTCACAGCTACATTGAAATAGTAGAGCACACGGCAATGAACGGCAGTGTGATCGTATACTGTATAAATATACTGTATATACAGTATGATACCATGGTGGTTTTAAAGCCACTACAGTACAGTATGTGTGAAATATTTTTTCATAATCAAAATTTAAAGTAAAATTGTTTTCTGATTACTTGTGGATGAAATTTGCATTCAGACAACATATAGATTATGTTACTGAGGATGTAGACCTCAAAGAACCACATCGTGTTTACAACAAGCTACAATAATAAATATCCAACTGATTAGTTTTGTTTTTGTAAAATAGCCCTTCTTTGTTAATGTAATATTCAAGATACTGTGATATACAGCACTGTATAAAATTAATAAAAGTCTAAACAGTATACAACAGTATACATTGAAATGTGTCTAAATAATATTTAGTCTATATGTAGCATTTTTACATTTTTATAAATACTTTGTACCACAGACCTGATATAATAATATCAAGGTCCAGAAATAGTTGGTTCAAATTTTGGTGATGAAAAAACCCATCACCTCATGAGGGACTAAAGCTTTCATGCTGATTTCTGGTTAAAAAAATCAGTGAATCTGCAAGATGAAGATTACACAGTTCCAGAAAAGTCAACACTACATGAATTAACAGCTTCAGTTTTTATTTTCTCTCAGGGCAATACCAGCTTTAAAATATGTATTTCCTGCTCTGCCAGTCTGAGTACTCTAGCTAAAATCACAGGCACTTTCTCTTAATTACAACCTTTAATGTGTCACTGTCACTCCCAAATGCAGTTTCAGGGCCTTCACCCGAAAGCCATTCCACTGCCTGTGGAGATACTGTTGAGTGAAAGGTCCTGCCTTACCTCCTGAAGCAGTGAGCAGCCGTCAGCACCCACTGGGTGTTGATCAGAGTCCCCCCACATGTGTGGGCCCCATTCCGGTGCAGGCTGGCTTGCCAGGGCCAGTACCCTGACAGGGCCGACTCACCCCCAACGATCCTGGAACTGAGAGGCGCCCGCCCACAGGCTGAGGGTGGCAAAGAGAAAGGGATCCCATTACTAAAGGGGTTTCTTTGATCTACTGCCAAAGCTGACCAGTCCATTCACTGATTGCATGATATTTAATTAAAGTCCCTGTTTGTGGCATTTGCTCCGTTATCCGTAAATCCTCTTGTGCTGTTCTGTTATTATTCTGTTATATCCATGCTATGTCTCCTGTCCTGTTGTGTGTGTTTATTACTGAGGGATTCTCTGTGATCTCCTCTCTCTCACGGTGTCTCCTATCCTGTTGTGTGTGTTTATTACTGAGGGATTCTCTGTGATCTCCTCTCTCTCACTGTGTCTCCTATCCTGTTGTGTGTGTTTATTACTGAGGGATTCTCTGTGATCTCCTCTCTCTCACTGTGTCTCCTTTTCTGTCATGTGTGTTTATTACTGAAGGGTTCTCTGTTGTCTCCTTTATCTTTTTGCCCATATTTTGAGTGATTTTAAAATATGATTGTCATTTTTCAAAAAAATGTTAAGAGTAAAACTCATCTTACCATAAGATGTCTGAGCCTGTGACTCTGAAAAGAAAAAAGCAGAAAAACATTAAGACCCAAATCAATTACAAATAGAGGCAAAAATAGAAAATGACAAGAGGAACTGGAGTGTTCTGAGCTGCTTATAGATTCACAAACACACAAGGAACCCACAATCATCTGATCATCACTGCGGTTGGGCCTGGGTATCCTCAACTGGTTGCACAACAGCGCCTCTCCATGGCAGGCTACAACGTTTCTGAGAGCCACAACATGACTCCCGTTGATGACATCACCCACACTGGAACAAGCTCCGCCTTGGCATTATACAGATCACTCTTCTTCCACTAAATGCTGTGATACCACTTATAAAAAAGCACAACAGAAATCCTCTTCCTATTTCTGTTTTCCTATTCCTAATCCTACTGTATTCCTTCTATAATTCCATCCAAAAGCTTTTCTACAAATCTTTTATTGTCTTTACTTACTGTCTCACTTGCTGGTTTGGTAACATCAGTGCCATTGATTGTAATAGTTTGGGAAAATTAGTCAAAATTTGTAGCAAATGAATTGGGGCCAATCAGATCGCCTCAAATATCCTCTACAAACAAAAGGAAGCAAAGAAAGTAAAGTGTATTATGGATTGTATTTCTCACCCCTTGCACTGCAAAATCACCCTTCTGTCTGGGAGACGCCTCTGCGCCCCCAAGCATGATCCTAACAGACACAGGAAATCTTTCATCCCCACTGCAGTATCTCCTTCACACAATGTGCCGTAACCATCCTCTCCCTTATCTTGCTGTAACACTGTTGCACTGACTTCTTGGTTGGTACATTTCGCCCGTCATTGTGTTGTTATGTTAGGAGTGTGCTGTACAACAAAGTCCCCCAAATGGGACAATAATGCTTGAATTGAAGTGAATTAAAAGTGACCCTTTGCAGCTTGCGCCACTAGGAATGATGGATAATATCATGAATAGAAACGAATGGGTCTGTGCAGGACATTCCAAGATATACCACCAAACTACTATACCACCAGTGGGGAGAAAAAAGCTTCTCAGTGACAATTCAACTAACCCGACTTTTACCTCTGTCTTCCAGCATGTAGATACAGGAGCAAGCCAGATCCTCACTGTGCAAGTGAAAGTAAAACAGAAATGTTTTGTCTCTTGACAAATGGCGAGCTGGGGTGTTTTGTAAACTGGGAGCTACTATTAACAACACGGCCAGAGCAGTATTTCTTCAGAAAAGCACGAATGTTACGGTGATCACACTTAACAAGAGCATCTAAACCTCTCTACAACGTCCTGGTTCTTCCACTCTATACTTTTATAGCAGCTGACTAAACTCTGCATGGGTAAAAAAGAACAATACTTGCAGGTCCCATTCTCTGTCCTTTACCATATACAGTATAAGCACATCAGGGCAGACAGACCAGATGAAGCAGATTCCTGCGGGACAGGATCTGCAGGTGCTGTAGGAAGACAGACTGTGAAGGTGTTGGTTACAGCTCCCTGTGAGGTACACTCGCCAGCAGCACAGCCATTTCCTCCAGGAGCCTTTGCACCAGAGATGGGATCTGAAACATACATTCTGGAGGGCTCCCATAGGGGCATAAAGATCCCGCCGAACACACGGAGAACGAATCAAAGGTCGCAAATCTGAAAAGCTGCAATAAAAGGCGCGGTTGAGAGTCAAACAGCGTCCACAGGCACAGCTTCTCTATGAGATTTAGGGAGACATTTCCACAGACACGGGGCTGCACTGCAAAGGATTCCATCCTCCACTGAGCAAAGCCTTGTACACTTAGAGGATCGGGTGACCCCGTACTCTGTGAAAGAGTATATCCTGCATCTTCCCTTACAAGAGGGAGAAAAAATCTCAAAGTCAATGTTGAAACACAGGTCACCGATGTGGCACAGCATGGGCAGGCATTACAAGCTGAGTTCTGAACATACCGATGCTCGCTTACTCCTTTAAGCATGTCCTGATAAAGACTGAGAGAACAACTGCGATGGACTGTGCACTACCCAGTACCCAGCAGAGAGTGTATCCCCACCTCTCTGCTTGCCAGGAAAGGCTCCAGCTCCCTGCTGCCGATCCTGTAGTAGAGGAAGCAGATAGATAATGGATGGCTGGAATTCCAGACAATGCAGCGGAGGAAGAGAATGAAGGTTGGGTTTTGCCTGGGCTGGAAGCTAGACCTCCAAGAGACCCCCTAATGAGGCTGAGCTCAACCTGTGCCCGGAAGCAGACCGGTCTGGAAAGTGGTATTCAGGCCATGGCAGGAACGCGTGTCCAGAGAAAGAAGACAGGGAAAAGGGATGAGAAACAGGTCCTAGAGAAGGAAAAACAGGGCTCGGGGGGGGGCTGTGAGAGGAGCCAAAGAGTCCCCGGCAAGGTCAGGAGCACCTTGCTGACCGAGGGGACAAGCTGGAGGATGTGCCCAGACTGAGGGATCAATCGCAACAGAGTGCGGACTCTCAGTCTGAGTGGCAGTGCCGCTGGTACCTCTTCTGCTGGTACCATGCAGGCAGGTGCTCAGTGTGCCGTGAAATATTCAAGAAGGAAATTCAAAGATGGGAAAACCCATCTGACATGCCTGATTGGGAACCGGCAGGTTTAGCACAAAACACCAAACAGAATGCAAGCAAGAAACCAGACCAGGAGTTGCGCACTTGGGTCCTCGTTGTTTTTTTTTCACAACGCTTTGCATCATGTTCAAGCCAAGTTCAGGGAGTTGATTAAGGCCCAACGCAGTGTACGGAACTGGAGCCATTGCCGGTACATTAGTTGTCCATTTCGCTCCCCGTTGTCCTACCCGAATATCGTCTTCGATTGGAAAAAAGTCAGTACTTCATGTTTGTCAACTGGAAGATCGAGACGTCATGGCGAGCTCTGTTGCCTGTGCTTGTCTCTGTATGGATGGAGAATTGCCTGAACAAATGGATTTTTGGAATCAATATATGTTTTTTGCGACCCACTTCCTTTTTCCCCACAGCGAGTAAGCCCACAGCCTGACGACAGACGTGCAGACGGTCACACAAAGTCGGTGAGCCAGGCGCGCCGGCGGACGAAAGCTAAGGTTCACACAGACAAACGCGTTGAGGCCCAAAGATTACATACCCTGCCACCGAGACACCTTACCTGTCAGCAACAGCAGCAAAGCCAGAAGTGGCAGTGCTCTGCCATGCAGAGCCATGGTTCACAGTGTGACTTTCCTGAACTGTCACTCTGTATATCAACCGTCTGCTTTATCTTTCTCTCCCTCTCTCTCTCTGCCCATGAGCAACTCAGCACAATACCTGACCGTCACACACCTGCTCTACCTTCCCTTTCCCTGCTGCTCTCTCTTTCTCTCTCACTGCTCATTTGTATGCAGGCTCAAAGCACATTCCTAGTGCACTATCAACCAGTGCATCTAAAAGAGAATTCCTCAGAAATAAACACACGACAGAACAGGAGACACAATGAGAGAAAGGAGATAATGGAGAATCCCTCTGTAATGCACACAACAGGAAAGGAGACACAGTGAGAGAGAGGAGATCACAGAGAATCTCTCAGTAATAAACACACACAACAGTCCAGGAGACACAGTGAGAGAAAGGAGATCACAGAGAATCTCTCAGTAATAAACACACACAACAGGACAGGTGACAAAGTGAAAGAGAGGGGATCACAGAGAATCTCTCAGTAATAAACACACACAACAGTCCAGGAGACACAGTGAGAGAAAGGAGATCACAGAGAATCCCTCAGTAATAAACACACACAACAGGACAGGAAACACAGTGAGAGAAAGGAGATAATGGAGAATCCCTCTGTAATGCACACAACAGGAAAGGAGACACAGTGAGAGAGAGGAGATCACAGAGAATCCCTCAGTAACAAACACACAACAGGACAGGAGACACAGTGAGAGAGACGAGATCACAGAGAAGCCCTCCGTAATAAACACACACAACAGGACAGGAGACACAGTGAGAGAGAGGAGATCACAGAGAACCCATCACTAATAAACACACACAAAAGGACAGGAGGCACAGTGAGAGAAAGGAAATCACAGTAAATCCTTCAGTAATAACATCAAAGTATTGAGTATACAGTATATACACTGTAATTAAACATGTCTGGTGCATTTCTATTATTGTTACTGCCTTTGGTTGCTGACACACTACTTTTTCACAAATTGTTATCCCCACTGAAAGATTAAAGACTTATAAATGTCCCTTCATTCACTCCCTAACCTCAAGGACACTATACGCCCCTAGCGCTGACAAACCTGTTTCTCAACATTCCTACTGCTTATAAGACGCTGTGAAGTGTAAATATTTAGTGGTATTCTGGAGTTTATTTAAATGTATCACGTGCCCACTGGTGTATTTCAAGCATGTAAGCACACTTTAGAAATTTGGTTCGGATTTGTTTCACTCAAGCACTTACTGTATACGACCTGACCAGTTTAAAAAAAATATTTCCTCTCAATGCTTTAATTAAGGTTTGCATTTCACCACTGTGCTGTCTTTGTCAGTGGCTAGGTACACCTACTGTACCTGCTCCTGTAAGCAGAGCTGTTTTGTGTGGCCTTATCGCTCCAGGTTAATCCTAATCTGGGACCAGGTTTGTAGAATTCCCCTGTGATTCCTTGCTGATTACTATCGCCTCTCAGGTTTTGAACAGATTTGACTGACAGTGGGGGAATAATACACAATTACTGTATTTATGATCTAACACATTAAACTAATAAAAAAAACTGTGAGCTTTAAATGTTCACACCTGTAAAACATAAAACCCCATGTTTTAGTTAGGTTTTGTTTGGTTCACTATTGCAAGTACTGTTACTGTTGTCACAGGGTGTCGTTCATATTGTAGTGGTCCTCCCTAAATTTCTCTGTTCAGTGGACGGCGGTGCAAAGAGAGAGGCAGGAGACTGGAACTGCGGCTTACTAGTTTATTGCCCTTAGGGATACAGGTGCAGGCCAGTCTCTCGGGGCAGAAAGGCAGGAAAGGGCACGGAGCTGACTGCTCTGTCAAGGGTTTGGCGCAAGAATGGCAAGAGGGTGGAAAGGGGTCCCCTATTTCTAACAGGAGGGGAGAAAGGGGTACCCCATTTCTAACAGGAAGGGGGAAAGGCGAAGTGAGTCTGCTGGAACTGGGCAGACTGGGGATCAAATCCTCAGACTTACAGGGCAGCCCGCTTCTGGGACGCTGCAATATTCAATAAGGGAAGCAGCTTCTAAACTGTACATTAGTTTCGGTTTAGAAGAAAATAATTTACTAAAGACTTAGATGTTGAAACATAAGCAGTTCCGTTGCTTTTACAAGAAATTGGCCAAAAATGACTTCTTAAGTGTGCTTAATTCATTGACTTGCCACTTTTAATTTGACATTGATAGTGATCTCATCACGATGTTTTGCAGAAAGGCGGAGCCTTCAGTTATGTCTTTATAAATTAACAAAATGTTTTCCTTTTGCTCACATGAATTCCTAACCAGAACCGGCTCACAGTGGGCTCGCTGTCCAACGGTTCTTACACTAACAGGCGCTAAATGCAGTGACAGATCAGTATTGAATCAAATAATGTATTTTCACCACTTTCCTTTTCCCCACCTTTTTAAAAAACTGCAACGGAACAAACGTTTCGTACAACGTTACTTTTTCTTGACGCGGGGTAGAACTGCGGACAGGCAGATGGAGCCATGTACACGAACTCGGATGCCTGATTCTCACTTCCACGATATTTATTTTATCTTCGGTGATTTACAATCCTTTCATCGTGCAATTTTAAACCTTTTGAGTGGGTAAGTTGTTATTTTACTTATATATATATATTAACAGAGCAAGTATTTGTGGTCATTACGGACGTTTTCAACATTGAGAAAACAGAAGTTTCGTGTGGCCTGTGTTAGTCTCTCGAATGGTTAAAGATTTACCATAATATTTGCCTTTTATCTGATTATTATACAATTGTATATTTTAATGGAGTTTGTGGTAATACGTTCTTCCTTCTTCAGATCCAACAGCGGCGATATATTTACACCGTTACCTTTATAGTTTGACGAGGCAATTTTAGCATTTCCATATGGTAAACCCGCTATTTTACCTCAGAAAAGTACGTTTTAATGCACTATGTCTAAATTTTACCTCAGTAAAAGGTGACATGTCGCTAACGGGTTTGACTCCGTCTTCAGCGTCACTTTATTTTCGCGCCACTGGCCTCTGTTTG